TATAAACACATTTAGAAACAGGTATCTGAGAGACCTGCGTGGCCACAGTTGTGAGCTGTAAGCATATGTGTGCATGTGAGTGTATGATCATTTAATTGACCACATCAGAGCTGGGTGCTCTGAGCTTGGTCACTTTCTGTACTCTTTTCTTTTTAGTCCCCAAAAGTGAGCCTTAGGAGCTGGTAGGGGGTCGGGGCTGGCTTCTTAAGATGGCAAAGGTGTCTGTTTCTGCCCTGAGGCCAGGCTGGCATGGAACCCAGGTCAGGGTTTTTTGCAGGGACCTCAGGTGGTCTCTCAGGGAAGGGAGCTATGGGTAGAGCAGAGGAAGACAGAAGAAGGTTCTAGAGAGTGTCACAGAAGAGCTAGAAACCCGGACCTAGGGTGATCATGGGGACATTTGGCTGGGGCGGTCCCCATGGCTTCTGCCTGCCATACTTGTAAAATCCAGAAGCTGGCCCACTGTCCAGCCCTAATTACTCCATAGATCTGAAGGACAGGAATGGGATGGGCAGGAGCAGAGGCTCTTCTGGTTTCTGAGCCCAGTCTCCTGGGCAGCTTGTAGTTGGTTGGGTGACTCATGGGCAGAGCCCCACCATCAGTGTGCAGCCCTGGGAGTTTGTGCTATTCAGTTGACTTAGGATGAGAGGGCTCTGAGCCCTTGGTCACCACCCTGTAGGGGAAAGTGTCAGAGCTGCCGACACTTCATACCCAGTTTTGTCCTGGGGACGCTGTATGTGTGCTCGTGGGGCAGAGAGCTGGAAGGGAGCTGGTGCAGCCCATGAATGTCATGAGTCCTCACGGAGCTGCCTTTGGACCCTGGAGTGGGGGCAGAGTAGACCCTGAGGGGCCCAGAGTGCAGAGCCAGGCAATTTGGGATATACAAGGAGGGCCATTGGGTGGGACAGAGTTAGCTAGCTGCCTTTACCATGAGTTCAGCTTGACCACTGCTGGTCAGTCCTGGGCCAGGAGGCCCCTGTCCACCTACCCATCCCTCTGATCCTCTTGGCCCCCACAGTTTTCGCAACTTTGATGTGGAGGAATCTCACCAATGCTCCCTGGACTGGCTGCTGCTGGGCCCGGCAGCTCCACCTCGCCAGGAGGCCTTTCGCCTCTGTGGCTCAGCCATCCCGCCCGCCTTCATCTCTGCCCGTGACCATGTCTGGATCTTCTTCCACTCAGACGCCTCCAGCTCCGGCCAGGCCCAGGGCTTCCGCCTCTCCTATATCCGAGGTGATGCAACAAGCTTTTCCACTGGCCCCAGTTTTCTGCAGAGGCTCCCCTTACCTGCCCTGCTAATCCCAGGGTGGGAGTGGGACTGATGTCTGGGAGGCTCACTTTGCTGGACATGAACCCCAGCCTAAGCCCAACCCTGATACTGAATCTAGCCTTTCATCCATGAGTCTGCCCCATAGGTGGCCCTACTTCTTGGTACAGAGGCTCAGTTGGGACTGAAGCCATTTGCCTGCTCCCAGCCTCCGGCCTGGTGCTGGAAGGAGGCGGCTCATCCTGTCACCTCTTTGCCTCCAGGGAAACTGGGCCAGACATCCTGCCAGACAGATGAGTTCCGCTGTGACAATGGCAAGTGCCTGCCTGGGCCTTGGCAGTGCAACATGGTGGATGAGTGTGGAGATGGCTCGGACGAGGGTAACTGCTCGGCGCCTGCCTCAGAGCCACCAGGCAGCTTGTGCCCCGGGGGGACCTTCCCATGCAGCGGAGCCCGCTCCACACGCTGCCTTCCAGTGGAGAGGCGCTGTGACGGCACACAGGACTGTGGCGATGGCTCTGATGAGGCTGGCTGCCCCGACCTAGCATGTGGCCGGCGGCTGGGCAGCTTCTATGGTTCCTTCGCCTCCCCAGACCTGTTTGGTGCTGCCCGTGGGCCTTCGGACCTTCACTGCACGTGGCTGGTGGACACCCAGGACCCTCGGCGCGTGCTGCTGCAGCTGGAGCTACGGCTGGGCTACGATGACTACGTCCAAGTGTATGAAGGCCTGGGCGAGCGTGGAGATCGTCTACTGCAAACGTTGTCCTACCGCAGCAACCACCGGCCTGTGAGCCTCGAGGCGGCACAGGGCCGCCTCACGGTGGCCTACCATGCTCGTGCCCGCAGTGCTGGTCATGGCTTTAATGCCACATACCAGGTGAAGGGCTACTGCCTTCCGTGGGAGCAGCCATGTGGGGGAAGCGGCGAGGGAGATGACAGCAGCACCGGGGAGCAGGGCTGCTTCTCAGAGCCACAGCGCTGCGATGGCTGGTGGCACTGTGCCAGTGGCCGGGATGAACAGGGCTGCCCCGCATGCCCTCCGGACCAGTATCCCTGCGAGGGTGGCAGCGGCCTGTGCTATGCGCCCGCCGATCGTTGCAACAACCAGAAAAGCTGCCCCGATGGCGCCGATGAGAAGAACTGCTTTTCCTGCCAGCCGGGCACCTTCCACTGTGGTACCAACCTGTGTATCTTTGAGACGTGGCGCTGTGATGGCCAGGAGGACTGCCAAGATGGCAGTGATGAGCATGGCTGCCTGGCCGCTGTGCCCCGCAAGGTCATCACCGCTGCTCTCATTGGCAGCCTGGTGTGTGGACTGCTGCTTGTCATCGCCCTAGGCTGTGCCTTCAAACTCTACTCCCTGCGCACGCAGGAGTACAGGTGGGCACCACGTGTACAGGTGGCCTGGAGCCCCAGTTCCTCCATCTCCCTGGAGAAAAAGCTCACCTCATTCCAAGTTATGGGTTTGGGTCATTCCAATACAGGAGGACTGTTCTTGTGTGTGCATGCAGGGGCCCAGATGGAAGGGTGGGGTCCCCAAATCCTGCTGTTAAGGCAGGTCTCTATCATACTTCCCTTCTGCCCGTTGTTTCCAGGGCCTTTGAGACCCAAATGACACGGTTAGAGGCAGAGTTTGTGCGGCGGGAGGCCCCCCCATCCTACGGCCAGCTCATCGCGCAGGGCCTCATCCCACCTGTCGAGGATTTTCCTGTCTACAGTGCATCCCAGGTGAGCCTCCATGAGAACGAGATCCCCAGCAGGGCCTGAGAGGTCCCAAGACCAGGAGGCCTAGGGGCCAGCTAGGGCTAGAACATCTGGAGGGGGGAAGGTGGAGGAAGCTCAGATTAGTCTCTGGTCTGGAAGGGGGTTGTTCCTGAATGGCCTGGCCCTACCTTAGCTGCTGCCCCACCCCCAGGCTTCAGTGCTACAGAACCTTCGCACAGCCATGCGTCGACAGATGCGCCGGCATGCCTCCCGCAGGGGGCCATCCCGCCGCAGGCTTGGCCGCCTCTGGAACAGGCTCTTCCACCGCCCACGGGCACCTCGAGGCCAGATCCCACTGCTGACGGCTGCGCGGACCTCACAGACCGTGCTGGGTGATGGGCTCCTCCAGTCGGCACCAGGGACTGCCCCAGATCCCCCAGCGCCCCATACAGACACAGGCAACCCCAGGGAAGCTGGAGGTGGGCCTCCCAGTGGCCCTGGCCATGTACCAGAAGTGGGGCCTTCAGTGCCACCCCCACCCTTGAACCCACGAGACCCAGAGTACAGGCCAGAGGACAAGGAGAGAAAAGCCTGTGAGGACCCTCCGGAAGACAGCCCAGCCCCTGTGGACACGCCTCCAGAGCCCTGCTTGGCCCAAGACCCCTACCCCCAGACTCCCACCGCCAGCAGCACCCAAGATCCCCACTCTCCAGAGTCATCGGGGGTCTGCAGGAGCCCCCCGCCAACCTGCTCCCCAATATTGGAGGCTAGTGACGACGAGGCCCTGCTGGTCTGCTGACCCATTGGACATGCTGGTGACTGCCACAGCCCCGCTTTGTAACCAGGGAATACACAGTCATTTCTACCCTGCCTCTGCATTTCTTCTTACAAACAGAGACCCGCCTAGCAGCCCTGGTGGAAGGCCTGGGCGCCCAGCCAGTGGGCTACCTCTGCAAGCCTATGGCCCTGATGGGTATCGCTGGCAGGGGCTTAGGGGCCCATTAGTTGGCCTGGGAAGGAGGGTGGAGTGATAAGACCACCTTGGAGGTGGGCAAGAGCACAGCCCCTTGGAGTCGCACGTCAGATTGTTCTCTGCAACTCTAACCTGGGGATTCATTTCCAGAAAAGCAGGGGAGCCAGAGCCAGGCTTTCTGCAATGTTTTCTGTGGCTTCTCAGTTCATTCAGCCGGCAGCGGCACCGGCTGCCCATCCCAGAACTCTGCCGGGAGCTGTAGTTGAGGCCTGAGGAGGTCATGGGGGGTGTTGGACCTCATTCATGGTGAGTGCTCTATCCACCCTTCCCCACAGAGCCCTTGGGGGAGATGGGCTAGTGGCTTCTGCCCCATCCTCATGCCTGTGGTGGCAGCATGGGCCTGGCTAGGCTGGGGCACTGTGCCCACTGGCTGCTGGATCCGTCCCTATGCATAATTGTGAGACTGGAAATATGGGCGAGGATGACCACGAGAGAAGCCATTCTGTGCTTTCTCGGGATACGAAGTCAAAGCACCCAGTGACAATGGTAACGTCCATCCCGTCCTGCCTCAGAGCCTCAGTTTCCCCACCTGAAGACAGAGTGATGCTGTGCTATCAGAAGTGGCACCATTCACTCTGGTGATTTATGGGAAAGGGCAGTCACAGCTGGGGACGTCTGGGTTCTCCTGGAGGGTCATAGATGGAGTCTCACTGCCTCCTATGGGCCCCATGGAGTCAGCCTCAGGTTCCAACAGCAAACCCCACCAGAAATCCTCCTCCATAGCACCTTCCCAGCTAGCAACTGATACGCCATGCCGAGTCCCCATGGACTCTCCTCGCACACAGCAACAACCAGCCCTGTTTATTTCCAGGCTTTTCAGGAGAAGCTAGCAGGGCAGTGCTAAGGCAGGAAGCCTGACCCCAGTGGCCAGTCCCATACAGTAGGCCTCTAAGGGTCGGATCTCTTTTTTTTTTCCAGAATTTTTTTTTTGAAAATAAAACAAAACACAAAACCCTCCTTAATAAACAACATGTAAACAGAATCAGCTGTTTCAGTCTCTGCACGGTCTCATTGTGTCTTCAAGGGCTTGTCCGTGATGGGCATTGGAGAGGGCTGGCCCATGGGGCCATTTTCCTCTTCCTCCAGGGAGCCCTGGGGGTAAACCACGAAACACAGCTCCTGGCCCCAGCGTGTCATGGACTCTAAGAACAGACAGATAGATCGTGGGAGGCAGAGTGTTGATCCTTTGAGGCAGGGATGACCCTACCTCTTGATACCTCCTTGGGCAAAGAGTTGCTTCTTTGTAGATGGATCCTGGCCACATCTACACATAGCAGGAAGTTTAGAGGGAAGTCACTGGGTCCTTTGTCACCAGCCTGGCTGGTAGAGGCCCCTATTCTTGGGTGGGATCAAAGAGATGCTCACCCTAATCCCCAAGAGGCATGGTGGCAAAATCTGGCTCACCTGTCAGTCTGTGCACACACTTTGGTTTGCTTCTCCAGAATACTCCCAGGAAGAAGATGGGGACCCCAGTGAGGATGATGATGACGCCGACCCCACAGACCATGGGCTCCGAGATGAAGCTGAAGACCAGTAGGAATGCCCAGAACACCAAGTACGCAACAGGAATGAGGAGGTTCACCTAACAGAGAAAGGAAGGACAGGAGCACCGGGGGAGGGGCATCACCCTAGCTCTCCTTCCTGAACCACCATGGGGATCAGAGGCACTTCCTCCATCTCTTGGGAACTAGGGCCTGCAATGGCCCCCTCTGGTTGCAGCCCAGTGCCCTGGAGAACCATCCCTGGGTTGACCTGGCTGAACTGCTGAGACTGTCTACTTGAGCAGTGTGCTGAGCTATCCGTTGCCGTTATCCGCAGAATGCTGTTTCCTATTTCAGGCAGTCTTCGGGATTTATATACAGAAGGGGGGGGGGCTTTTCTGTCACTCTTTCATGTGAGAGCATGAGAATGCCAGGCCCTGTCATTGGCAGCCCATGTGACTTTCGTCTCTGTCCCCGTCTGTGGACTGGGAATATTAAAAGCACATGCTTCCTGGGGTTGTGAGGAGCGACTGTTAGTGCATGGAAAGCCCTGCGCTCTGCAAATGCTGTGGTCCTCCTGGGCATGGTCACCCACACCTGCCTCGGGTGCTCAACTGAGATGAAGGCGGCCCTGGTTATTTCCAGCCTCACCTTGATGGGCCTGTGGAGTGCTGGCCGCCTCCAGCGCAGCACAAGCAGGCCCAGGATAGTGACTCCGTAGCAGAGGTAGTTGATGAAGGACACATAGTTGATGAGTGTGTATGTGTCACCCACGAGCATGATGACCGCTGTGGCCCCGCACTGGGAGAGGACCGAGGGCTGACGGCTGGCCTCCCACCTGCTTCTGGCCATCCCTGCGGGCTGCTCTGGGCCTTCCCACTCAGGTCAGGAGGTCAGGTGAGTCCCAGCCCTTTCCCACCCTCCACGGCTTATCTACCATAGGCAGGGAATGAGTTTTTGCCATTATCTTAAAAAGAAAGCCATTACTAGGTGTTTCTGGCTATGTGCACTGGATGGTCAGGTTCTCAGACTTACACAGACGAGGAGGGCAGGGATTGGGGTACAGCGTCTGACATGGATCATGGCCAGCAAGCTGGGTAAGTGTCCCTCTCGGGCTCCAGAGAAGCATAGCCTAGGCACAGGGAGGGTGATGGATGAGCCAGAGCAGGTGTTGGAGCTTCTCTGTGGCTAGCTAGGACCCAGCTGTCACCATTGCCCTTGGCCCTCCAGGCCCTGCCAGCTCTCCTCATGTAGTCTGCCTCCTGGGCTTCTTACCCTCAAGATTGGGATCAGACATTTGTTACTGGAGAATTCATTGCCTCCGCTTTCCCTTCCCATGGCCCCTAGCGCAGCCTGCACACAGAAAGTCACCCGCCTGGTCTTACCTATACCACCCTCTCCCCCTGTGCTCAGCCTAGTCACCTGGATGAGGTGAACAGGTAGCCATTGATCCCTCCAAAAGTCGATAGTGCCACAGAGACAGGCATGACCCACGCGAAGTAGCCCAACAGCTTCTCGCCAAAGGTCTGCGTGGGCACAGAAGAGAGGCCAAGTATGAGGCTGGGGAAGGGGTGCAGGCAGGGGCTGAAGAAAGGGCCGAGGTCTCCACTCACCACAGCCACTGCGTTGGAAGACAGCAACTCCTGGGGGGACATGGCAGTGAAGTAGGCAACGTTGGTGAATGTGTACACAAAGGTGACCAACGGGATGGAAATGAAGATGGCACGAGGTAGGTTTCTGGGGACAGAGATCAGAGTGTCAACTGGGGACACAATAAACAGGAGAGTCTTAGAGTCTCCTGTGTGCCCAGGCGGGGGCGGCTTCAGGCAGGAAAGAGACCAGCACTGCTACTGGGGACAGGGACATACGGTTGTCTGCCTTTTACCCAGCCCCTGTCTGAGTACAAGCTAACGGAAGGAGGGACACACGATGAGGCCACTGGGATGAGGACACGTCATCCCCTGAGGGCAGGATCTAATTAATGTCTGGATAGAAGGGAAAAATTGCATATAGCCAAAGTCAGCCTAGAAAATCTCCCAGATGCCTTCAGAGCTCAGCCGTCAAGTCTGAGATCTCCCTGGGGATTCTCCACCCAACCCTGCCCCCTTAGCTGCCACTGTCCTTGCCAGGGTTCCCGACTGAGCATCAGATGGAGTGTCGTGGGCTCTATCCGTCAGGACCATGCTGTGTGCATATGGACAATGTTGGACCAAATGTAAATCACTCAACACAGCAGCATAACGAAATTCAAGTCTTTCCGACGCCCTACAAGGGGTCCGGCTGCAGCTGCAGACACAGACAGGGAAGAACACGGCTTCGGGGCTCTCCTTCAAGCCTGTTGTCATGGCAGCAAGTGTGACAGCAGATCTGTGGGGACAGCTGCTTCTCCTCCCAGTGCCTGCCCAGGCAGCTTCACTCACTTGCGAGGGTCAACCAGCTCCTCGGTGACATAGTTGAGGAAGTTCCAGCCACTGAAGGCAAAGGAGCCTTGCAGGAAAGCCAGGGCAAGGTGGCCCACAGATGGTGTCATCCAGAAGGTGAAGGCGTTGGTGGGCCTCAGCTCTTCGAAGTGTCCTGGGGAGCCCAGATGTCAGGGATTAGCACAGTGCACCCCCCTTCTCTCCAACGCTCCCACTCTGCTTCTTACCTCGGAAGAACTGGACAAAGCCAACACCAATGATGAGTGCCAGGGCCAGCAGCTTCCCGCCAGTGAAGATATCCTGGATCCGCGTGGCCCAGCGAACACTGGAGCTGTTCACCCACGTCAGGAGCACTGGGGAAGAAAGGGGCGTGGGCACCTGAGGCCAAATCTAGGCCAGACAACAAGGGCAGAGTCTTCAGCAGCCGGAAGCCCGGGGCTTGAGATATGTGACTCCCATCAGAGTGGACAGAGAGCATCACGAGGTGGGGGGGGGGGGGGCAGCCAGCTGCTGAGAGGACAGAGGCTCAAGACCACTCACTCAGGCAGGCCATGGAGAGCACTCGGGAGGCTGTGGCTGGGGGGATGCAGTTGGGGAAGACGGGCTGAAGCACGTAGTTGGAGAAGGTCATGGAGATGACAGCCAGGCTGGTGGGGTACATGATGAGCACAGCACTCCAGAGCAGCAAGAATCTGTGAGTGGTGAGAGCCAGCATGGTACAGGCATTCTCAGTCCCCTACCCATGCTAGTCTGGCTCAGACGTGAGGGTCTGGGATAGATGAGCCCCCAGCCCCACCCCCAGAGCTGGTGGACTGCGGAGGCTGGGGAGGTAAGAATCGGAACAACTGGAAACTGATCCCAGGCTGCCCCCTGAGTCCAGGCAGGCGAATCCCAGCCCTTAAGCTATAGCATTGTCTGGGGCTCTTGGCACTTTATGACTTGACATGGTTGATGCTGAGCGGTGCTCCTGCCTTGATTTTGGAAGAAGAGCGATTTATGTTCCTGATACCAGACCCTCACCTATGTGTTATCCCATAGGGAACCGGGACTCTCCGCTTAGGTATATGTTCAAGGACTGCCTTCATCCAGACAGGTGCTGCTGCTCACACCCTTGGGGATGGCTTTAGCCAGCTCCTGGCTTGCCACTGAGGCTCCTTGGGACAGGCCTCTATTTATTTATTTATTTATTTATTATGTATACAATATTCTGTCTGTGTGTATGCCCGAAGGCCAGAAGAGGGCACCAGACTCCGTTACAGATGGTTGTGAGCCACCATGTGGTTGCTGGGAATTGAACTCAGGACCTTTGGAAGAGCAGGCAATGCTCTTAACCTCTGAGCCATTTCTCCAGCCCGGGACAGGGCTCTTAATGTTTATCTTTGATCCACCCTTTTTGGATAACCCAATCCCTTGGCTTCCGAGACATTATGGACCAATAGCCCACCCCTTCTGCTCATTCTTGCCTTCTGGTTACCCATGAAGTGGAATCCAGGGTCATTTTTCTGTCACCTTCTCCCTGCCTATTATCTCCAGGCCCACAGTAAGAGACTTCTGCTTTTGTGGGTCCCGACTAAGCACCTCCTTCACAATGGTGCAAGTCTTGCCCCACGAGCTTCCGTCTACTGAGACCGTCACCTATGGGGCCTTTAAAGTGGGAAGTGAACGTCACTCTTTTTTTTTTTTTTTTTTTTTTTTTTTTTTTTTTTTTTTTTGGTTTTTTGAGACAGGGTTTCTCTGTGGCTTTGGAGCCTGTCCTGGAACTAGCTCTTGTAGACCAGGCTGGTCTCGAACTCACAGAGATCCGCCTGCCTCTGCCTCCCGAGTGCTGGGATTAAAGGCGTGCGCCACCACCGCCCGGCGAAAGTCACTCTTGCTGCACAAAGCTGCCCCTCATGACACACTAGCTACTGTGTCCTCCTGGGTCAGGTTGTTAAATGACTAAGACAGGTTGGGATCTTAAGCATCTTCATTGAACGCATCTGGACAACTACAGCAACTTCAGTTCCCCATCTCCTCCACTCCCGCTCTGAACCTGGCCTGGCCTCTATCCACCGCAGGCAGACCCCCTACTCAGCCCACCACATCCTCTGGCCATGCTCTCGGGGACTGGAAAGGATGCTCTCCTTGCTGAGGGGGCTGATACAAACAGCATCCTTTTTACAAGGCTGTCTAAGCTGGGTTTCCTTGCCTGGTATGCACCCGCTCTCTGCTGCATAGCTGCTGACTGTGGCCACATTCTCAGGGCAAGGATCTCTTAGGTTGAATCCCATTTGAGGGATTGTTCTGCTTTGTGAAAAACTTGAGGTTGGGGACAGTTTTGTGTGTGTGTGTGTGTGTGTGTGTGTATGTGTGTGTGTGTGTCCCAGCTCAAACAGGTGTGGGAAGATATGTCCAGCCCCTTCTCTCTCCTCGCAGCAATGACTTTACTAAAGACCTTCCTCACCTGAGTGCTAGCATCATCTAGTGGCTTCAGAGAGTAAGAGCATCCTTCCCTCCAAAATTGCCCCCAAGGGGAGTAGAGTTGAAAGGAAGTTCCACGGAAGTGGGGGCCCTGTCCCTGGCAGGCCTATCATCCCCAGTGGAGAGGTACATGCAGGAGGACTGTGAGTTGAAGGTCAACTTGGGTTATATAGAAAGACTCTGTCCCAGAATACCAGACCAAGGAAGAGAAAAGAATAAGGGAACAACACAAAGGAAACCCAGAGAGGGCAAGGATATGATACCAGAGAAATGAAGTGGGCATTGGTGCTCCCCACCCTAGCTAGGGAAGGCTGCCAGACAGCCCCAGCCGCTATTTCCATCTACCCTCACCCCATAGCAGAGAGAACATTCTCTGCCAGGATTGCACACTCACCCAGCCAGGCCCCCAAAGATCTCAGTGACGTAGGCGTAGTCCCCACCAGACTTGGGGATGGCGACACCCAGCTCTGCATAGCAGAGTGAGCCCAGAGCCGTCACGCTCCCACCCAGGACCCAGACGAAGAGGGCCAAACCCACGGAGCCCGAGTGTTCCAGGACACCTTTGGGTGAGATGAAGATGCCTGAGCCAATGATGTTCCCTGCAGAGAGAGAGACAGGGGGTATCAGACTGAGGCACCAGTCAGGGGCTCAGGCTTCCTGGGGGTAGAAGGTCCAAGATACTTCGCTGAAGAAGGGAGCCTGGCCAGCCCTGGAGGAGTGAAGGCAGGTGATCTGGAGGCATGGGTTGTCGCTGAGACTCTCGGACCTGGGCAGGGCCGCTCTGGGATCACCACTGGCCTTTTTCTGTCTCTGGCTGGGGAATGGCACCTTGCCCAGCTAGCCGGTATTGGTTACTGAGTTCTCCTGTTCCCTGACTTCCATTCCAGGTGAGAGTAAGGTGTCCCAGCCATCTGAACAATGGCAGAGAATGGGCACTGGTGTGTAATTCACACACCCCAGGCACGGCCAAGGCTCAGGGTCTCAGCTCCTGCCATCTGTTGCCCTCCCACCCGCTGGACAGAGCTGGCCTCCCACAGCAAAACCTTGACCCATCCTCCATCTGCCTGCCCTTCTCCTATTAGCCTCATCTGGTCCACAGCTCAGTGTCTTTATCGGGCACCTCCACAAGCAGGCGGTGGGGCACCTGGCTGCACTCAGCCCTGCACCAGCGCTCACTGCAGGTGCCGAGTCCCACAATACCCAGACACAGCCCCATCCCGCTCTGTCTGTTGAGAAGTATGAGGCTACATGGATGCTGAGAACTCATGCAGTCCAGCGTCTGCTCTGTCTCCCAGACATCCAGAGGCCACAGTTGTATTCCCTACTCCATGGGTGAGTAGATGACGCTTTTGCACCAGGAAGCCCTTCTAAACCCCCGGGAGCTTCCCCTTGCAGAAGCCTCAGGACCCCGACTCTCCACTCCTCCACAGACACCCACACCAGCCATGGACAGAATCTTTTGTCTCCACCTTACAAACGAGGAGCCCACATCCTTCGTGCTTATGCCTGGAGGCCACGTGGGACATCAGGATGGTCTGTCGTCTGTTAGTTTACTCTGCACCTGCAGTGAGCCCGGTGCAGCGCCCAGGACTGAGGGAAGGCAGGTGCCCTCACTGCCTGCTGCTGAAGGTCCCGGTAAAGACACCTGAACCAGATGAGGACCCCGTGCTCGCGCTCTTTGAGCCTTTACGGTAGGCCATTTTACAGACAGGTCTCTAAGCCCCGGCTTCACATTGTGTAACAGGCAGCAGAGGGTCAGCGGTCTGTGCCTGAACCCCAGGTGTGAAAAATCCCAGGATGTCCACTAGCATCTGTGTAAACCCCAGGATGTGCACGAGTGTCTGTGTAAACCCCGGGATGTGCACGAGTGTCTGTGTAAACCCCAGGATGTGCACGAGTGTCTGTGCAAACCCCAGGATGTGCACTAGTGTCTGTCCAGACCCCAAGATGTGCACTAATGTCTGTCCAGACCTCAGGAAGTGCACTAGCGTCTGTGTAAACCCCAGGATGTGCACTAGTGTCTGTGCAAACCCCAGGATGTGCACGAGTGTCTGTCCAGACCCCAAGATGTGCACTAATGTCTGTCCAGACCTCAGGAAGTGCACTAGTGTCTGTGCAAACCTCAGGATGTGCACTAGTGTCTGTGCAAACCTCAGGAAGTGCACTAGTGTCTGTGTAAACCCCAGGATGTGCACGAGTGTCTGTGTAAACCTCAGGATGTGCACTAGTGTCTGTGCAAACCCCAGGATGTGCACTAGTGTCTGTGTAAACCCCAGGATGTGCACTAGTGTCTGTGTAAACCTCAGGATGTGCACGAGTGTCTGTGCAAACCTCAGGAAGTGCACTAGTGTCTGTGTAAACCCCAGGATGTGCACTAGTGTCTGTGTAAACCCCAGGATGTGCACTAGTGTCTGTGTAAACCCCAGGATGTGCACGAGTGTCTGTGTAAACCTCAGGATGTGCACGAGTGTCTGTGCAAACCCCAGGATGTGCACTAGTGTCTGTGTAAACCCTAGGATGTGCACTAGTGTCTGTGTAAACCCCAGGATGTGCACTAGTGTCTGTGTAAACCCTAGGAAGTGCACTAGTGTCTGTGAAAACCTCAGGAAGTGCACGAGTGTCTGTGCAAACCCCAGGATGTGCACTAGTGTCTGTGTAAACCCCAGGATGTGCACTAGTGTCTGTGTAAACCCCAGGATGTGCACTAGTGTCTGTGTAAACCCTAGGATGTGCACTAGTGTCTGTGCACACCCTAGGGTGTGCACGAGTGTCTGTGTAAACCCCAGGATGTGCACTAGTGTCTGTGTAAACCCTAGGATGTGCACTAGTGTCTGTGTAAACCCCAGGATGTGCACTAGTGTCTGTGTAAACCCTAGGATGTGCACTAGTGTCTGTGCACACCCTAGAGTGTGTACGAGTGTCTGTGTAAACCCCAGGATGTGCACTAGTGTCTGTGCACACCCTAGGGTGTGCACGAGTGTCTGTGTAAAGCCCAGGATGTGCACTAGTGTCTGTGTAAACCCCAGGATGTACACTAGTGTCTGTGCAAACCCCGGGATGTGCATTAGAGCCTGCCCACAGGAAAGAATTTCAGTCACTGGCTACATGTACACATGTACGATAGAGCTAGCTCAGCCCCCTCCTAGTAGGGCAATGTGTGTGTGTGTGTGTGTGTGTGTGTGTGTGTGTGCGTGTCTGCTCACTCCACCTGTCAGGTCCACAGGCAGGGCTGGCAGAGGACACAGCTGTGGTTGCCAATCTGCATTCACTCCAGGTCCACCCTGCCATCCCTCACCCCCGCCCCCAGCCGACACAGATTTCCAATCTGGAGACAGCCACGATACCCTACTTGGTGTTCTGGTCACATCCCAGGAGCCCTAAATACATCCAGATAAGGATGGAATAATTCCTGTGCCCCAATCCCCAGAGGTAAGCTATAACCCTCATCAGCTTTGTGGGAATGGGGCTGGGCTTGGGGAAGTTGGGGAGGAGCCACCTTCCATATCTCAGACAAGGGGCCCAAGGTCTGGGTGGGCTGCTGCGTTTGTAAAGAGTTTTTGAGCTCGCTCCATCCGGCGGTAGTTCTCAGGACCTGGCAGAACAGGATTTGCCAAAAGCCAGTGGAGTTTGAAGCCAACGGGGGCTGGGTGGCCTTGGAAGGCACTGGGTATGTTGGAGCTGGGACATACAAGGCTCTGAGGCACCCCTCTCCTGTGGAGACCCCATAGCTCTACACAACCCAGTCTGCTGAAAACTCACAGGGTCTTCGGGGTCAGGGACGCATCACTAGCCCTGAGCCAACAGCCAAGACCCCAGTGTGTGGGGCGTGTGTGGAAACGCACGATTATTGTGGACACGTGGCTTCAGGCGACCCATTCAGAACTTCTCTCCTGTGGCTCAAATACCTGGGCCCTGCACCGGTATTCACTGCAGGTGCCGTGTAAACTAATAGATGACCAATCACCCTGATGTCCCATGTGGCCTCCAGACATGGACGCGAAGGATGATGGTTCCTCATTTGTAAGGTGTATGTGTCTCTGAGGGCCTGTGGGCAAGCGGAGAGCTCTGCCAGGCAGGACAACCTGGAGCACCTGCTCCAGACTCATGCTTGAAAATGGCAAAGAAACCACAACACCGTGTTGGATGCTCTGGGTACCATGTGGGTATGGTGGATGCAGACAGCCACAGGGTGGTGGGCTTGAGTAAGCAGCAGAGGGCAACGAGGGGGTGGGTGGCGGGACACTGAGGACAGGGCTAAGGAAGGTGGTCCTAAGAGCCTGAGTGATTATGGATGTGAGGAGGGTCCCTAGAGCTGATGTTCTAGAGCAATGGCTCTCCACCTTCCTAATGCTGTAACCTTTAATACAGTCCCTCGTGTTGTGGTGACCCCCCCAACCATAAAATTATTTTGGGTGCTACTTCATAACTGTAATTTTGCTACTCTTATGAGTTGTAATGTAAATATTTTTGAAGATAGAGGTTTGCCAGAGGGGTCATGACCTGTAGGCTGAGAACCATTGTTTTAGAGTGTTCTTCCTACCAGGGGTAGGTTAAGAACTTTCTTCTTGGATCCCACATTCAAGTCCAGTAGATCTGTCTTATGGAAAGAAACTGCAATGAACACACCAGCCCTTGAGGAATTCTGCATTGGAGGAGAAGGAGGAAGAGGAGGAAGGGGAAAAAGGAGGAGAAAAAGAAAGAGGAGGAGGAAAAGGAGGAGGGAAAAAAGAAGTAAGAAGAGGAGGAAGAGGAGGGGTGGGACCCAGGGTCCAACAGGACCAAGATATGAAGATATGGTAGGAAGATATTATAGAGTCCTAAGGTGGGCATCTGAGTGACAGCCAGAGAGAGGCAGGTCTCCAGGCTTCTACATTCCTGTCCATCCAATGGGACAGCAGTCCTCTGGTTCCTGTTGGTCCTTCCAGGCAGGCAGGTGGGAGGACCTCTAAGTCTTCTCCCATCCCCCTTCCTTGTGCTGTCTCTGGGTAGTTTTATCACATTAAGATGTTTGGCCTGATGGGGCTTACTTGCCTCCAGGAGGAATGAAGAAAGGGCCATTGTTCCCTGTGGCTACGGTGCTTGCTGACCTATTTCTGGGAGGCGGTAGCAGACCATAGAGGTCACAGGGGTAGGCTGTGGAGGTCAAGTCTGCAGAATGAGCCACTTGCTTACCCATGGCTCAAGCGTGCGCACGTGTGTGTGCGTGTGCGTGTGTGTGTGTGTGTGTGTGTGTGTAAGTGTGCGCGCGCACGTACATGTGTGTGACATGCAGTCTGATTGAGGAGGGACAGGGAGGTCACAACACTGGCAACATTCCTATTCTTAGAAACATATACAGGATTATAGGTCTAGCAGGTGCTCTCTTCTGGGACTCAGTTTCTCCATCCGCTAGTGGGGCACCAGGCTCAGCAGAGAACCAATCTGACCTGACTTGGCCAGAGAAGAAGCATGTTAAATTCTTGATCCTGATCAGGCTCCCTGTCCCCTGCTGTTGCGAACAGCCCCGGTCACCAGACTTCTAAGCAGCACCCCTCCCCTATCCAGGTAGCTTTCCAAATCACCCACCTGGGCCCCAAGAATCTGATGGCTGCCCCCTTCTCATAGCTCAGGGGGTAGGTGGGGAGGGACTCGTTAATACCTAGGCATTGGCATGCTTTGGTTGGCACATCGGTTGCCAAGGGAAGTACTTATGGATCTCACTATTTTTATAAAACCAGGAGATCCCCATGCCCCACACAACTTTCCCTCTGGAGACCCAATTCCCAGAGGGACCCCAGGGTCCTGGGGTGAGCACTTAGAACTTTGCTGAGGCCTGGATGAAGTCTGCCCTCCTCTTCTGGGTCTTTCTAGTAAGAATGTCCTTCCCTGGTGTGATAGTGGCCCCACTGAGGTCTTGGTAGAATACCAAGGAGGTGAGTGGGGGACATCCAGGACGTGCCCTGGTTGCCAATCAGCCAGCCTGCACCTCCAGCTTAACCCAGTTTCCTTTGGAGAGAGGATGAACAGATATGTGGAGACCTCTCACTCTGGCCTTCCCAATCTAGTCCCATCAAGCCGGCTACGCTTGCCAGTGCCCAGTTTCTAGGCCCAGACTTGTCAGGGTCACTAACAAACTCTAAGATACTGATTCTGACCCTCAAGCCCCAGACCGCATCTTCCTCAATTAAATGGTGTTACATAGCAGGTTAGTACATGCTGCCCACTCAGCATCCCAGCCAAGCCCCTGAGATGTTGGTTTCCCAGGCTTTTTTATTTGTTTGAGCAAAGTCTGAATACATAGGTCAGGCTGCTCTTGAACTCATGGTCCTGTCAAGTGCAGGGGTGACAGGTGGATACCTCCACGCCCTGCTTCTTGGAATTCTTTGCAGTGTCTTCAATTTAAACCTGACTTTTAACCACTGGGTTCCCAGGGCTCAGTCCAGGGCCTGTGACCCTCCCTATTACTATCCTGCCTACTATGGCAATCCCCAAACTTCTAACCAGAGCAGGGACCCCCACCAAACTCAGCCTAGGCTACACACTTCCCACTAGTGAGCCTCTCCCACATAACTCCAAACAGAACCCCCAACTTCCTGTCCCTTCTGTGGATCTGTTCCTTTCTGAAGTTGTCCTGACCAATCAGAGACAAACCGTCCTCCCTACTGCTCAGGCCACCACCTCTGTTACCGTCCCCTCCTGCCCCACATCCAGGCTGTCACAAACACTGACCTGAACTTTCTCTCCGCCTTCCACCGCTGTCCCATTTGAAGCCACCCTTGCCTCTGTCCCAGTGACTTCCTGCCTGGCCTCCCTTCTGTAACCTTTATCCCCATGGCCTCTCCTCCATAGTGAGCTGAGTTCCATCACATCTTTCTTCAGGTCACCACCTTGCCCCACAGCCCCCACCTCTTAAAGGGAAAAAAAGGCAAAGTCTTTACCATAGCTCACAACCCACCAGGAAGCCCTGTCAGACTCTACCCTGCACCAGCACAACCTGCCCTCCTTCCTGCCTCCTCGTGGCCACTGGTTGTGTGTCTGGCTGTTTCTTTTGTGTGCTGACTGTCCACATTGGGGCATCAGCCCGAGCAGAGGGACCAGCCTGCCTTGCGTCCTGTTGGGTGTCCAACGCACCTGGCATCCGTTAACAGGTGCATGAGGGTCTCTGGGGTCAGCCTTGTGGCTGCAGCTGCCTCGATTTCCAATGGTGTCCCTTCGCTATCCTAAGGACATCTGATCTTGAATAGGTTGCTGCTCAGGGCCTCAGTTTCTTCATTTGTAAGTGGGGCTGGGGTTATCCTCAGGACCGGTAAGGAAGAGTGTCTCTGAAGAGACCTGTTGACTTCCGGCCCTGGGGATTGTGGACAAGAATGCAGAGGGCTGGATGACAAGGGACTGGCCTCTAGAAAGGTGGGGTTCATGCACTAGCCCCTCACATCCCTGCATATGTTTGAGCCTGACGTTCAGGCACCTACATGAGCTAGACACTTGAGTCCAGAAGGAGAGCGGAGAAGCAGTGGCCTGGGCGGCAAAGCCGCAGTGACTCGGTCTGATGGGCTTGTGTGAGGGGGATAGCTGAGGTCTCGACAGCAGGATAAGTTCCTGTATGCACAGCCACAGGAAGGACTGGCTGTTCTTGTTCTGTTCCTGCATAGTAGAGGGAGATCTGTCTACTCTAGCTCGATCCCCAGCCACCCTCCATCAACAGGGTTGAGTCAGGCCTTCGCTTTGCCAAACCTCCATTGCACAAAGGACTCTGGAAACTTGAATTCAAATTCTGAGCTCACCAGTTGAGAATTTATCATTTATCTCTCAACCTCAGCTTTTCTAGCTGTGTAATGGGTACCAAACTTGCCATCCCACAGGGCGGGCATGAGAATCAAAAGAGGTAAAGTAAATCCATACTATAATGAGAGGTGGCACTCTGAACAGGTATCTGGTGCGCTGGTGTCCTGCACAGCCCTGCCCCCACTGGCTGCTTCCTTCTTCCTCGTCCCCTCCAGTTTGGCTGTGAGCACAGTCCTACAGCTGAGGGGCAGTCTCACCTTCTCTGCAGCCAATCGTCCATATCTCCCATCCCCCAAAACCTCACTCCTCCGCCTGGGCTGAGGCAGACAATGTATTGAGGAGTGAATCACAGAACCAATGGGAGGCTCCATTAAACTCTTTGGAAATACCCCATGAGTGACAGCTAACTGATAAAGACAGGTCACTTACAGCGAGAAGGTGACTTTCTCCAGATGTGTATGTTAAAGTATGAGCTTCCCGGGTTAGGAATGGAGAAGAAGCAGGTGCACCCAAAACTGAGAGCCGTGCCCTAGCACGGAAGAAGGGGGACCCTTGGGGCATTCGGAGGTGCAGATCTGGCCTACTCTCACTTGGTTGCCCACTGCCTGGTCCAGTGTCGTGGCTGAAACTCTTCAGAGCTCCATGAGCCGGGCCCACAGGAGACCACCAGTACCCTGGACTGGAGATGATCATCTGAGCTCTGTCCCCACCCCACATCTACCATCGTTGCTTAGCCGAGTTGACTTTCACCCTCCTCAGCCTTCAGAATCTGGAGGCCAAGGGGGAGCCATGGAGCAAGAATAAGCTGAAAGGGTGAAGGGAACTGGCGGGCCAGACCTAGACTCCAATGCCTGTGCCGGAGAAGGAGCAAGATGGCGGAGCTCCTCTTCTACTCCCTATATGGCCACTGTCACCCTCTTCTTGAGACTGGAACCCTGGCAGCCTCTGACTGACCTGAGGAGGACAGGACCATAACTAGGGCAATGGGTAGTGCGTGGCTGCCAGGTTTTATGTCTCTCTGAGAACCTCTCAGGCACTGTAGCCAGCCCCAGACATGGGCAGCCTCTTGACTCACTAGCCCATCAGTGATATGTAGGATTCCCCTTTTTTGGGGGGGGGGGGAGTACAGCCCCTACAAAGGGTATTGCCTGGGAAAAGCTCTAACCAGTACTCTCTGGCCAAAACCCAAACTCAACCCTTTCTATTATCAGACAGCCAGGCAGGGGTTCCCAGAGGTACATCAGGACCATTCTAGAGGATAAGATGAAGGAACTGTCTTTAACTGGATTCAGGGGTGATTCTCGATATGAGGATGCTGGGTACCCAGGAGATATTACATCTCTCCAGCTGGAGTGTCTCATTGAGAGGTGTGAAGCCGGAAAAGGTCTGCCTGTCCCAGTGAGCCCCTCAGCCTTTCTCTATCTTCAGGGGTCAAAGGGCAGAAGGGCAAAGTTGTGGCTGCAGCTCCCACTGGCTGGGGAAGAGGACAGTCAAGGCCCTAATTGTTGATCTTCTAGACCCCCAACTCCTGGGCACAGGGGAAGAGAAAAGGTCCCTCCCAAGAGGGTTAACCCAGTTCTCCTTCAGAAGTCAAGGGACAGAGGTGTGTGTGTGTGTGTGTGTGTGTGTGTGTGTGTGTGTAGGGGACAACACCACTGTCCCTGTCTCCAAGCGTTCTACCTACCCAACGGGCTCCATCTGTAAGGAGAACAAGAGGGCTAGACCATGAGAGCACCCACTCAGGTCCCAGGGCTGAACGGGAGCTCTCCTGGAGGCTTGGTCTGCTCCTGGTAGTGCTATCGCTGGCTATTCCACTGCCTCTGCCTGGATTCTGTCGCCACATCTGCCAGGAAGGACGGCTCAGGGGCAATTTCTTCTCGATTTAATCTCTACCTGGCCACTTCCCCACAGTCCTTCCCGCTTTCCCAGAAGAGATGGCCTCACTGCCCTGGCACTTGAACCCGGCAGGCAGTAGGGAGATAGACAGCCTGCCCTGCAATCCAGAACTTGCCACTAAAAGCAGGCCTACTCATTAATTCCGTTTCCTAGAGGGAAGCAGGGTAATTGCCTTGACAAAGCCCCACAGAGAAATGAAGGCCAGGGGAGGTTGCAGCAAGGCCCCCCCCCCCCAGCCCCGCGCGCGCCGCCACCTCCACGCTCAAATTTCCAGAGAGACTGGGGAAGAGGGGGCAAAAGGATCTGCGGTCACTATGCCAGGCCCTGTTCCGAGAGGGGTCAAGTGTATTCTGCAGCCATTGCAACAGGTGCTCCAAGGGTTTCTTTGACCCTGTGTGGGAAAAATTGCAAGGGGATCCCCAGAGCTTTCCACCCTGTGTGCACCCCGCTCACCGATGATGATGGTGCAGGCGCTCACCAGCCCGATCTCTTTCTTGAGCGCCACCCGCTCCGAGGTGCCCGGACCGGGTACAGGACCCGGGGAAGGCGAGGACGTAGGGCCGGGGTTCCCGCGCCCTCCAGGCTGCTGTATGTGGCCTGTCATGTCGCTGTCCCGCCTTTTCCCAGCTTTCTGCGCTACCCCGTCTGTCCGGCCCGCCGCCAGTCAGTCGGTCGGCCCGTCTGTCGGTGCGCTCGCGGCCCTCGCAGCCCGGGACAGCGCCCACAGACGGGCGCATGCGCTGGCACGCAGCCCGGGCCCCCGAGGGCCCCCGAGCGGTTGGATCCAGGGAGGGACAGAAGGAGGGCCCGCCGGCAGCCCCCTCCCCCACCGCCCTTAAAGGGAACTCCCTTTGCTCCAACCCCAACCTGGGGAGACAGGAGGGGCTTTGATTGAAGTTACGGAGGACTTCCTAGTTGAGTGAACGAAGGGGCTACACCCTGTCTTGGGTGAGGTGGGGGAGCAGAGCTCCAAGACCAGACTGGCCCTGCCCTCAAGGAGTCTATGCAAGGCACGCGAGGGCGGGGGGAGTAGGGGGTGCTGCATGCCACGACACGTACTTTTTAAATCCCTCGTGCCCCATTAGTGAAGGATGGTCATTGCACAGGTGAGAATTGCGACCCAAAGGCAAGTTACCTCACAGCTTCAGCGCAAACTTTTTCTGATAGCTCGCTGGCCTCTAGGGGTTATAGGATGCGTCGGGGGTAGAGGGGAAGCTGTCGCTAAGAACAGTTCTGGAGGTCAAAGGCTTGCGGAGAAATGAAGACCTCAGAGACCCTAGAGGTCACTTAGGGGGTCCCAGGGCATCTTGGGACATCCCCATCCATCCCTGCCTCTCTGAATCTCCCAATTCCTTTAGGGTTCAGCCTAATGTCCCCACCGCACACTCCTCTGCACAGGTCAGAGCCAGGGATCGATGGACTAAGATGTTGGCCCAGGTCCCATGCGGTCCAGCATGGCCCAAGTGACTAGGCTACTGGAAGTGCCAGGGAGTCATGAAGGGAGCAATTATGGTACAAGGAGGTCTTGGAGCTCAGGATCCAGGGGAGCCTGCCTCCTCCCGGAAGCCATCGGATGGTGCAGCCCGTCTCGTGGGGCAGATAAATGCATGAGGAGGAGGGGGAGCCCGTCTAGGCCACCAGGGCGGCGGGCGGAGCGAGGCTGGCACGGTGTGGCCGGCGGCGGAACAGTCTTTGTGTGCTGCTGGCAATCGCTGCTTCGCACCGTCTTCTGCATGTGGATGAGGCCACGCGGGGCCACTGGTCCTTCCCCCGATCGCGGCCTCAGGCTTGCTGGGGAAGGATAGGGAGGACCCTGGAGGAAACTATCGCTGAAGTCCAAGAGCCTGGACTAGAGGCGGAGCATGGAGGTGGGATCTTGGCCAAGGCCCAGCTCTACTGGCTGGAGGGAACTGCGAAGTTGGGGCGGAGACTTGATAAATAGAAGAGGGAGGATTCTGGGGGGACTTGGGGGGCGGGGAGCCACCCGGCAGAGCTACATCCTTCGCACTCCCGACGGAGCCCAACATTCTTGGCGACCTCTGCCTCCCGCCCCAGAGACGCGTTGAGTTGAACGTGGCAGATTCTCTTAAAGGAACATCCCGCGGAGTGGGGTGGGAGAGAGGTCCTGATTCCCCAGGACACATGATTGTCGCAGGAGGCAAGGACCCGAGAGCCTTGGCTTTCTGGTTTGACTGACACTCCGTTGTCTTTGCAATGCCAAGGTCTGCTGGGCAAGGGTCCAGGCAGAAGTATTCGACCAAGGCTAGCTGCCAAGGGGCAGAGGATGGCATCAGAGTCACAGTGCAAAAGCCAGTGGTTTATCAAAGTGGACCCTCTCCTGGGCCTTGAAATATGGCATTTGTGTCCCAGAGGAAGGGCTGAATCTGGAGCTCTGCGCCGGGTGGAGTGTGCATGTCTCTGTCCTGGGGCATAGTGCAGGAGGTCGTTTTAGTTGAAGAGAATCTGCACACTGAAACAGAACTGGAAAAGTCAGAAAGACTAGACAAAGAGGCCAGTGCGGGAGCCTCTCAACAGATGCTCATCCGCGACTTAAACAAAGCCATCTGCAAAACTCTCAGCAAGTTAGAAACACAGCAGCCTTCACCTGAAGGTAACTTCCCACCTGAAAGCAGAGAGCCCAGGAAGCAAAAAACAATCCCTTCAGCTGCCATCGTGCTGAAAGGGCGAAATAGCAAATGCTGTACCACAGACACCAGAGGAAGGGGAGAAAGGCACACTTGCCAGTTCTGTGAAGTACAATGTGAGCCAGTGTCACAAGGGGAAAAGAAAGAGGAGAAGGAGGAGGAGAAGGAAGAGAGGAGGTGGAGAAGGAGGAGGAGAAGAAAGAAGAAGAAGAAGAAGAAGAAGAAGAAGAAGAAGAAGAAGAAGAAGAAAGCAGTTTGAAGACAGGGGAAAAGGCAAAAGCTGTCATTCACATGGGATATGACTGGGTGCATAGAAACTAAAATAGAATGGTAAGTCGATAAATTTATTTGGTCCAGTAACTGGATACAAGCTCAATATACAGAAATGAATACACCAGCAACAATGTAGAAAAGTTTATAATTGCATAAAAACAAATACTCTGGCTAGAGAGATGATTCATGGGTTAAGAGCACTTGCCACTCTTGTGGAGGACCCTAGTTCGGTCCCCAGCCCACACAGAAAAGGCCCATAGCCCTCTGTATCTCCAGTACCTTAGAATCTAGCACCCTCTTCCGGCCACTACTGGAATTGCACATAATGTACATAAACACATACGCGGAAATATTAAGAATAAAAAATCCTTTTTTTTAAAGACAGGGTTTCTTTATGTAGCCTTGGCTGTCCTGTAGCTAGCTCCGTATACCAGACTGGCCTCAAACTCACAGAGTTCTGCCTGCCTCTGCCTTGTGGGTGCTAGGATCAAAGGCGTGTGCACCAACTACTCCATAAGAAAATCTTTAGAAAACACTCAAGAATACCTATGTTTGGTTGTTGGAACTTAAAATAGCTTTTTCCCACTGAGAATGACATTGCATGCCTTTAATCACAGCATTCAGGAGACAGAGGCAGGCAGATCTCTGTGAGTTTAAGGTCGCCCTGATCTATGTAGTGAGAGTTCTAAACCTGGAATTACATAGCTAGAATTCATCCAAAAAACAAAACAAAACAAAAGATTGTAGACAGAAGTTTTCCTGCCAATAGCTGCTCTCAAACAAACACACCGAGGCTTATACTAGTTATAAGTGCTCAGCTGATAGCCCAGGCTTGCTACCAGCTCTTACGTTTAAATTAACCTGTATTTCTAGTTACGCTTAGTTACATGGCTCATGGCTTGCTGCCTCTTTCTCTACACATCCTGCTCATTCGGTGACTGGCTCCCATCTCTCCTGACTCCACCTTTCCTCCTCCCAGGGTCCTCTGTGTCTGGCTGCCCCACCCGTACTTCCTGTCTGGCTCCTAGTCTGTCAGTTTTTTATTAACCAACGACAGTAATATATATTCATAGTGTACAGAAGGATTATTCCACAACAAAAGGCTTTGACAAATTAAACTTAGAATAGATTGATAGTTGACACATCTCAATATCTTTCTGTTTATTTGGTCCCTCCTCGTGGGGGGCGGGGTAGAAGATGGCAAGCTGATATTGAGATATATGTAAAGTGGACTAACATTGGAAGGTGTGCACCCTGGTGTGGAAGACACATGGTACTGAGGCAAGCTAATGCACCATAGCAGTGAGTATGAACTCAGAAACAAGACGGATCCTAGAGGTCTCACCGCTCTGGGTTCTCACCACCAGATGGCACTGCAGAGCAGTGGGGCCAAGACACCATGACAGGTCAGCGTCTCTGTATCCATATCGGGTGCGGCAGCAAAACTCTCCCAACTTTGCTTCACACTGTACCCTATCTGGATTAGCTTCTCAAACTGTAATGCCTGAGAATTAGCTTAGAAAGTACTTATTTATTTTACAAACGTTTTGATTAGTGGGTCTCATGGTAAAGTTTTTATATGCATCTATTATTGTACCTTGCCTATATTTGCGCCTCAGCACCCTTCCTCACGCCTCCCATGAACCCCTCACAGGTCCCCTTCCTCTCCTCAATTAGACATCTTTCTATTTTATGTCAGAAATACACGCATACCTATGTACGTATGTATGTATGTATGTATGCATATATGGTGTATGCATGTATGTGTGTATATATGTATGTGTGTGTATTGTGTATGCATGTATGTGTGTATGTGTGTATGTATGTGTGTATGTGTGTATGTATGTATGTATGTACATGGCTCAGATTTTACATATGTGAGAAAATACATGGTATTCTGTCTTACTGCCCTATCACCCTTTCCAGTTCTCTTCTTTTTTTAAACTCTTTTTTATATTCTTTTTTTTAATTGATATTTATTGCACTTTACATTTTTCTCTGCTCCCCTCCCTGCCTCTCCCCTCCCCTCTTCAATCCTCCCCCAAGGTCCCCATGTTCCCAATTTACTCAGGAGATCTTGTCTTTTTCTACTTTCTACTTCCCATGTAGATTAGCTCTATGTAGGTCTCTCTTAGTGTCTGCATTGTTGTCTAAGTTCTCTGGGATTGTGGTTTGTAGGCTGGCTTTCTTTGCTTTATGTTTTAAAACCACCTATGAGTGAGTACATGTGGTAATTGTCTTTCTGTGTCTAGGTTACTGTTTTCTGCTTTTTATGCCTTCTAGGCTTCCCATAATTCATAGTGTCACAGATAAATTCAGACGTAGCTGGATACAGTTCTAGATGCCAGAGAAAAGATGTGAGTTTGAGTCTCTGAGTCTGGCTTATTTCCCTTAACATAATTCTCTGACTCCTTCATTTCCTTTCTTTCTTTTCTTTACAGTACAGGGTTTCTCTGTAGCTTTGGAGCCTATCCTGAAACTATCTTTTGTAGACCAGGCTGACCTTGAACTCACAGAGATCCGCCTGCCTCGGCCTCCTGAGTGCTGGGATTAAAGGTGTGCGCCACCGCCACACGGCTTCCATTCATTTTCTTACAAATGACAGCTTTTTTTTTTTTTACAGCTGAATCAAATTCCATTGTGTCCTTTATCCATTTGTTGTTGATGGCCTTTTAGGCTGTTTGATTATCGTGAGTGCCACAGCCATGAACACGGGTGTACCAGTATTTCTGTGGAGCGTTGACAGAATCCTCCAGCAGGACTGAGGTAGCTGA